AGTGTTTTCCCCCATTAGCGCTTTGGAAACTGCTGTGAAAATCTGCCTCTAGTTCAATGTAACCAACGCCCAAAATACAGTATTAAATTAAAGGTCACCAGAGAACTGAGATCTCTGCCCAGCCAACAGCAAGGAGCATTTTGTCATATCCCTTAAAGACAGACAAGAGGTTGTGGGGTAAAAAAGCCAAAGCTGCATATTTTGCAAGCCCCAGCTTTTCAGGGCACACAGCCACATGACCTTCAAACCGCAAGGAATGTATATTGCCAAACATACATGAACATTTCCCCTTTCTGAAGTTCACTACAGAATTTCTGGGCTTGTTAAAATGTGTATGTCAGCTGGGCCACGCCAGATGCTTTTTCATGCGGTCTCTCAGGCAAACAACTGGATGGTGGATGCACTGCAGGGAAAGATGTGTCCTGGAATATTCTCTGCCAATTAGAGCATCTTCACGGGTGTGGAAGTGTCACAAATATAAACAACCTGAATTCTCACCAGGGTTCAAAACAGCAACTCATAAGAAAGCCACAGTCTTCTGGACTTCAAGGTCTGACGATCACCTGGAAATCAAGGTAATTTTTCTTCATCTATGGAAAATTCCTTTTCAATTCCCCAACAAGAAGAAGAAATAACCAAAGCAAGCATCTCCCAGAAGAGCAGGTACAAACCTTGCACTTTTGCTCACAAACGTGCACATTGGCCAGATGCAGAGTTCTGAAACTCCGAGCTCCTTCATTCTCAGAAGGAAATCAACAGTACAGTCTGTAGGAGAGGAAGTCGTTCTGGCTCAGAGCAAGAAGCATTTCTGCTCTGGTGAAGCTGGTGTTTACAGATTCACAGTAGGCAGCAGCCCAGCCCGCCTCCTTATGTCAGTGCTCCGGAGTGGTTCCATTTGTAATGGTGGGTCAGGTCAGATCACCAGGCTGGCCCTGATTGCTAGCAATGATACATGAGAGACAAATGGAATTGTAGCTGGGAAGTGTTATCAACAGCTTAACTTTTGGTTAGCCCTGAAGTAGGCGGGCAGTTGGAATAGACTATCTCTGAAGGTCTCCTCCAATTGGAGCATTCTATAATCGTTTTCCAGGATAACTTCAGGTGCCATCTGCCTTTTGTTGTATTTAATTATAACAACTGCTAAACCTCAAATTACAAAATGGAAAAGTGCATTTTCCAAATATCTTCATGTGGTTTCTGAGAAATAACTTGCATGGACATTCCCATCCCAGATTCAAACCAGTCATCACCTGAGAGCTGGAATCCAGAGCTGCCAGTGCCCAGCACCACACAGGGATGTAGTAAAAGCTCTTGGCTATGATGCTCTGTTCCCCGATTAATTCTGAGCCTGGAGAGGGTTGATATCTCCCAGTGCAACATGTAAAACCAAAGAATGTTAACAAACTGAGCCTGGCCTCTAAGTGCAAAAAGCCAGCAGAGCCAGGAAATGCCCAACAAGAACTAAGGCCATCTCAATTTCTCACTGTGATATAACTACAGTCAGCGTTTCTTCACCTTTTCCCCCAACTACTGCATCTTTCCTTTTCAGACGCAAACACATGATCTTTCCACTATGATTTTCCCCACTGATAAACAACATGACCGATAAGTTTCACAAAGGGCATGACAGAGAGGACCATCTGCTTTCAGGATGCTCCAGCATTTTTCTGTCTTCTGTGCCAGGAAGGATATTTCAAAACATGACAGGACACCAAGTATTGACAGAGGTAACATTCAACAACATCCTGAGGCTATCCAGTGTGAGATGGGAGAAATACTCAAGAGCAATCTAGAAGTAAGTTCCAAAATGAACATGAAATGAATAAATTTGAATAAAAATATGAAATTAAAAAAAACTAGAGCTTTTCATCTAGAAGAGAAAGGCCAAATATACATGAAGCTGAGGACTTGTTTTTGCCATCAGTGTTACATAGTACGTGCTCAGATATGATCTTTGTGAGGGACAGAATAAAACTCACAGTGAATTAAATATTTTGAGGCCAGAGGAGCCATTAGGTCATCAAGACTGATCTCACTGTGCAACATGTTCCAGAATTCCACCAAAACATTCCTGCTTTAAGTTCGGTATTTTCTCCAGAAAGAAAACTATTTTGTAGGAAAAGCATAAATGCTTGGAGTATTATAATTCAAAATAAAATCCTGAGGACTTTATGCAATCCTATATGGGTAAGGCGAGCATCAGATGTGACTTTCTGGAAGCCATGAAAAGGGGAATGATACCAGCTCTCAGCCCACAGGCTGTAACTGCACCTCATCCATCTGCTCCATCCCTGTCTTTCAACTCCGGACCCATTCTATCCCCCAGTACTGCAATAATAGTGATGTTAGTACTGAGAAATCAGTGTTCCACCATCATTTGGCAGCACAAAGCAGTGAAATACAGCAGGAGCTGCCAAAAATAATTACCATGTTCCCACCAAAAACAAAACAAAACAACAACAAAAAAAAAAAAAACTAAAAAAAAACCCTTTTATTTTAAAAGAAGAAAAAGAAAAAAAGCTAGTGTTTAAATCCTCTTTCCTCATACTTTAATTGAGCCCAGGGTTACGCCACAATTCAGGTAAATGATGTTTATATAACTGGCATTTGGCTGAATGCATAATTCCTATTTAACGGCTGAAGAGAAGCATTTTGGGGCTTCAAAGAAATCTGACAGGTAATTCCCACTGTTGTTCTGCAGGGTAGCTGAGAGGTAATTATCCTTCTCACTAGTAAATCAATTAGGAATGAATGTATAGAAAGCTCTCCCCCTCCTCCAAGTAACTGCTAATCCTCTAAGCGCTAATGAGCAGACACTGCTAGCAACCCATCAAAAATCGACAGGAGCTGCGAGGCACAAAAGGTCCTGTCAGTATCTGGAAGCTGACATCTAATGAGAAAACATCTTGCGTGGAAAAGTTCTGTACAGTTCACTGTGTGCACATCTGATGCTTTCAGTATCTTTTTATTTAGTGTTTATTGCCTCAAAGAGGTATTTTTGAGGCTCACAAGAGATCACTGCCTCACGAGCAACTGGGCAGCACTGTGCTCTTTGAGGTGAAACACAAGGGATCTAGATATTCTCTACTGGGGTACCACTACTTCTCAAACTGCTCTGTGATTCATTATTGATGGTTATCCTCATGAGCTCTGTAAAAATGTGATGCTTACTCTTCAGGCCACTTATGGGTGAACAATATTTACCCAGATACATTTGGAGGAGATTACAACCTAAGTGCATTTTCTGCAGCACACAACTTTATGAATCTGTAGGGGGTGGGTGGTGCATAGTAAGCCTGATAATGAATTTGACAAATCCTGATGCTCAAATCCATTGACATCTTTTCCAAGCATTTTTCAGATTCTGAATCAGTGCTTGGGATGCTTTGCTGGCCAACAAGGTGGAGCCCGCTCCAGACTAGGGCAAACCACCTGTTTAACCACGCATGGTAAATATATTTAGCAGAGGTAGAAAGAATGAAAACAAGCTGTTCCCACAGCAACCACACTAAAGCTGGTTTCCTAAGGTTTTTCCTTACAGTTTGTCTCTACATTTCAAAAGATTTTTTGGAAGGGAGGAGAGGAGGGAAGACAGACAGACAAAAAAGAAGAGGGAGAAAGACCACTAATCTGTAATGCTCGATAGCTTGAAAAACTGCTAAAAGATAATCATTTATCCTAGTACTGTGATTTATGAGGGAGACTTTACATCAGTGACGTAGATTTGTAACCAAGCACATTGCCTCCAATTCTGGGTGGGCAGAGTTGCTTTGGAAACAGAATGAAGCAGCATTAACTCTTCAGTGCACACAATGTTGGTTCTAGCAAGGAGTGCAAAGGCCAGGAGAGTTTGTTAGGAAACATCTTCATTCCATTTTGCTCAGAACAAAGAAGTCAAAGTAGTTTTCATCTTCTGCACTGGAAAATCTATAAGCTTCCTCCTGTCCACCACCTTCTCCTTTGCCTCTTTAAACTCAAAGGCACACATTTTATCCTATAATAATCAGAGCTATGACTGCTTTAAGGTTGCACACACTGAAATAAGCATCAATCTTGAAATCTCTGTGGCTGGACCAGTGATGGAACAAACAATAGCAGTAATAATGATAGTAGGAGCAGCAGAATGCAAATTTGGAAAATTAACAAGGGAGACAACAGCTAGGCAGTTTGGATGTGATGAGACAGAATGCGTTGCGCCCCATCCAAACAGCTCTAACCACTGCCAACATTTTGCCATGAGCCACAGCCCTCCCACATTTATTTCTGTGGGTAGGTGTGTGCATCTTTGTCCCATCACTTCCCTTGAATCCACACAGGCTGTAATTTTAAACCAAAAAAGCTTTGAGTAGCAACTCCTGTGCTGAGAAAGAACTCTGAGCCAGACAGAACCCTAATTGCATCACATGGAAAGCATGAACAGGTGGGTGAAAGCCATGACTTCTCTTCTATACCCTCGAATCACATCTTACTTCTCTCACCCACTTGCCTGAACATATTCTTCTTTTGGCTCCTTGATGCGATATAACTAATCAAAATTAAAATTACATTTCTACCTCCAACTTCAACTTCAACTTCCAACTTCCAATGTCACAAAGCCAGAAAATATATAAACACCAAATGCAGGAAGAAATGTTCTTTACCTTGCTATTTCTACTAATAAAGAGACAGAGAAGGCAAACAGAGGTGTATTAGCTGAAGTCAGGGTAAGCAAGAAGCATTTGTGTGCATTTGGCTTCTTTACAGGTGTAAAGTCAAAAGCAAATAAAAGCAACTCTTTTACTCCTTTAATTTATTCAGCAGGAGATTAAGGACTCCACCCCTATTGTGAGTAAAACAGGCATAATTCTACTGAAATCTGTTATACTAGTGTAACTTAGACAGCAGAGTCAGGCTCCCAGGAATTGACAGTAGATTTGACTTTAGGATCATAATTTCTCTCAGAAGGAACAAGAAGTCATTATTTTGTTTCTACATCTACCAGCTTGATGGCTCTCCCTTACCTTCCTCTTGTTAGTGGGACATACATAAAAGTAGCTCAGCACAGTCTTCAGGCCTACTTTGTCATTTAGCTTTTCGTAGGTAGTGCCGTAGTCTGTTGACCTGGAGAAAAGAGGAGACAAAAAGAGTGTATGTGGTTATTGTGGGAAGGAAAATGACTGTGTGAACAGACAGGTTGCAGCTTGAACATTATTAACCTTGGAATAGAAGCTTTTGTGCTTCATTCAGGATTGCAAGTGGAAAAGAAGAAACTTGTGTCCTTTGGGACAAGATCTGTCACTGCATCAGTTGATCCTACAGCACCTGGGGAGCTGTGGTCTACCCATGAAGATTTCTGTGGACTCTGCACTCACACACTGGTGGGGGATTGTAAACGGTATCTATGCAAAGAGTCTGATCTCAGCAGTATCCTTAGCACAAATTCCTTTTTCAGACAAATCCAGCAGAAGGATCCAAATTAAACTCATCAACAAAAATTTTAAGTAGGCTGATTTTTGACTTTGAGATGGGGATACAAATGTGGCTCAGAATTGTAACAGCTGAATTCATGTATAGATATAAATGTACCTAAACTGGCAGCTTGAGTCCTTAGTCACCCCATCCTACTCTGTGCCAGGAACTGAGTTTTTCTGAGATGCAGAGACAGTCAGGCCCCTACACAAGCAAATCCCACTCAGAAGAGCAGATGATCTGGGGGTGGCATTACTCGTTCATGACTGGGGGAAAAAAAAAGAAAAAGAAAAAAAAAGAAAAAAAAAATAGTTGCTTTGTCACAGAGGGTTTTCTGTAGTTTCCTCCCCCTCATTTGTGGGCATGTTCGAAACCTCACTTTGCCCTGCTTGTTTCTTTTCTGCTTTCACACACTGCTTATTATAACAAACAAGGTTTTTCCCACCAGAACAAATTCACAACTATGCAGGCCAGGATTCAGAGGTCAACACCAGGTGCTTTAGAAGGGTATGAATCTGCACAAACAGCCAAATTGCCATGTCCAAACTATACACAGAGCCCAGCTCCAGACCCTATGCAGCTTCTATTGTATAGACAGAAAAAATACAAACCTCAGCAGGCGGACAAGAAAAGATTCATAGAAAGCCTGCCTGGATGTATCTATGATGTTATTAAGATCAGAATTCACAGCCCTTGCCCTCCTTTCCCTACTCACCCTTTCTTTTTACTCAACGAGCATTTAGAGAACATCCAGCACCTTTCCTAATAACTAGCTGATGCCGGTCTCCAGCATTTTGTTCTGCCTCAGACCAGTCCCTGTTCTTTGTCTGGCAGAGCAATGGTCCATATTACCCTTCTGGCATCCACATGAACAGTACCACTGTGCCCAGGAGCTCCACACACCCACTCGGGTGGCTGCAAAACTGAATGTTGCCAGGACCCTCACCTGGCTCCATCAAGTCTCCTGGCTGCCACTGCAGGCCAGAATGACACCAAAATACTGAAATAGAGCCGCTCAATATTGATGCTTAATATTCTTTTATACTAATGTATAGTATTGATATTCACTGGGTGCACAGAAATATCTTAAAGGCTATCACAGTAACATACTGCATTTCTGTAGCAGTTTCCTACACAAAGGATTGGAAACTTTTTTGTCTCACTAGGTGCCAATGCAACACAAATTACTTAGCAGATTTCCTTCTCCAGGAAAGCTTCAAACTGAAGCAGTTTGATTAATAAAACAAAATAATCCAAGCCGATCAATTCCACTACACAAGGCCTCCGATACACATTAATTCAACAGGTCAGGAATCTTTAAGGAACAGCAGGCCCAAAGCAGTGTGTAAAAGACAGAGAGCACGTACTAAGTTTTTTCCTTCATTGCACTCTTTCAACTGCACTGAAGCTCCAAACAAGCCACATCTGTGGCCACACATGTACAAGTCACCATTCAGAGAAAGAGATCACCGGTTTCAATCAGCATTCAAAGAGAATACAAATAATAAATTAATATTCTCACAGAGCTACTTTAGTTTTGTTCTCCTAGTCTTTTTCAGATCTCCCAAAATGCCTTGCACTTTTAAAGATGCAGGCTGGATGCCCTAATGACTCTTTCTCATTAAACCATTATCACTCATTGCATTTGCCCTTTGAAAGAATAGATAGAAAGGAAGTAGGATCATTATTTCATTAGCTTCTCCAAGGCTTTCTTTATTATCATGACAGTCATCATTGGCTTCATAGAAACGTCTCAAAGGATATCACAATAATATACTGTATTTTCATAGCTCTTTCCCATCCCAAGAAGCTGAAGCTTTTGTTTTGTGTCAATCCATTCAAACTAACAAACTCCCAAAGGGCCATACTGGGAAATATCATCTCCATTCTAGAAATGAAGGAACCAAAAGCTTGCACAGGTAATACTGCGTTTTTTTCAAACGCAGGCATCTACAAATAGCCTTTCCAGCTTCTTTAATCACCAGGTACAGAGCTTGATAAACAAACCTGCTGACTCCTAACACCACTGAATTCCCTAATTCGAAAACAAGTGTTTACCAAGGCACAAAAAAAAGAGAAAAGAAGGAGAAGAAGAAGAAATAGAAATCTGGAAACTCAGTCTAATTTAAACAACTCAGCCCTGAACACTTTCAGAGGTGTGAACCACAGGTGGAATTGAACAGTTTGGGCTCTGACATACAGACCTGAGCCAGCTACTTCCAATATTATAATAATTGTTCATCGCAGGCATAGGGATGTGAAGCAGAGGTGTGGAATCCTCCCCTCAGATGGGCTCCATCTCAGAGCTCTGTCAGGCAGAGCAAAAGAGTTTGTTTGTTTGCAGCCTTAGCTATTAAGCTATAAAGACACGCTATAAAATATATCATCAATCTCCTAGAAGCAAAAGAGCTACAAATGCTGACCAGATTGCTGGGAGGGACAAGTCATCTTTCTGGAGGATGTGTGTGGCTGACTGTCCTGTGAGAAATCTTCTCTGTGTCTGTGACTCTCCCCACTATATGTGAAGAAGGAACAGCCATGGTATTGACTTGAGATTATCAGTGTTTTACACTTGAAACCTTGTGCATCCACCTCCAGATCAGATTTACAGCATGCACACACCTGAAACCCCACATTGAGAACCATGTGGATGCGCAGCTCCACTTAAACAAACAGGAGAACATGACAGCTCCATGCACCTTGCACACACCAGGAGCACACATAGCTCAGATTAACATTTTCTTCCCTCCACCTGTGCATGCAAACTACCTGCCTGCAGTTGCCTTTCTCCCTATGTCCTCTGAAGAACTTCTTGTTTTCAGCCATTGGCCAATTTTCTCCCAGTTTGACAGAGCAACAGAAACCCTAGACTAATGAAGCTTCCACAAATTTCATGAAAAACAGCAGCCAGCAAAAAGAGAGGAAACTCATTCATGCTCAGAAAAAAGCTGCAGCATGAAACCAAATCCCATGAGACACAAGAGCAGGCACAGCTCTGAACATCCAGCTGCAGGAAAACATTCAAACACAGCTCACATGTTAATGCACTACAAAGAATCCATCAGCACAACACAAGGAGGCAGGCTGCTGAGCTTCCATTGCTTTTGAAAATTTGTTTCTGTCTCTTGCCTGTCTTCTCCCTCAAGCTACGGTCCCTGAGATAAAGGCATTTCTCAAATCAAAGTCCAGGTGGCCCATCCCCTGGGGCAGCCCCTTTGGTCAGCTCCTTTAGTGCCTGCAAGTGGCTTAGATCTCAGACAAAGCCAGTTTAGCAGTAACTCCATTACCCTGCTCTACACCACAGTAGCAGAAGGGTTGCAGAGTCCTAAATCAGGAATAAGGCTGTCTGCACAACAATTTTAATACAGACAGGGTGGAGGGCTGCTCCTCAAAAAGCTACAGATACCTAGCGGCAAACAAGGAGAAGCTTTGCCTGGGGATTGTAGGTTCCTTTACTGTAAAACAAGGGAGGGAGAATGGGATGCTGCTCAAGCAGCGGTCCTCAGGACTCCCTGCTTGAAAGAGCAATGGTGCTATGTCTCTGCCATGCTGAAGCTTTTGAAATAAAGTGAGATTATTTCTTTTTCTCCCTTGTTTAATATTTTAGCCTTGTTCCTGTCTTTCGTGGACTATGACCACTTACGGCTGAACATCCTTCACTTCCAAAGCCTTTTTCATATTTAGATACAACAGAGATAAACAATCTTTCCTGTCCTAGGTTTGCTTATAAGCCTGTACAAAGTCAGAGTTGGGACAAAGTCAGAGACTTAGGCAGTCAAAGGCCTGGAACAGAAACAGAACTCCAGAATAGACTTTTTCTTTTCCCTTTACTTAGGTCAGAAGAATGGCTCTACCAGGTCAGCTCAAAGGATCATCTAACCCCATGGGCAGGATGTTATGAGCCCTATTTCTAATACTATCAAAATCAGCTGTGATGGAGCTAACCAACAGAATTCAGTCCTTTGCCCTTCCCTCTCTGCAGCTGACAAATCTGGATCTGGACACTGTAAAACGAAAGTATCCACAGAAGCCCTGTGGGGTTATACTTGATTACTTAACAGACAAAATCCAAGTAACAGTACTCTGTGAATCTTTCCTTTTGCAGAGCTTCTCCTTCACCCAAACACGATTACTGAGTGACTCTAATAAATGTCATATTGCAATACTGTAGATCTACAAAAAGAAACTACTTCCTCTTTTTATCCCCATTCCACTAAAGAAAACTAAGGACAGTAATGAACATCTGTGAAAAAGAACACAAAAGCAAGAAGATGGTGCAGCTCCCCAGTATAGGTTCCCAGCCTAGAGCAAACTGTTGATCACAGATTTCCTAAATTGAAGATGATGCCTTTGTGTACAAAAGCCATCAGTGGCCTTTTAGTTCCATAAATGTCTAACCTCCCACAGAGAAACTCCTGGCAACTTCACCATCCTGTGGTAATAAATACCCACAACCTACCCGCATGTGTTATATTAAGAGATGATCCCCCTTGTTTTAACTTGATAACATAATTCAAAGCCCACTGGCACAGCTTAATGAGAGTGAAACCATGGAACCACATCTGCCATTTGTGTTTTCACTGATTCTTGTCATATTTATTCCCTACATATTCAGCAGTCCAGAAACTCCCAATTTATTTAGCCACTCCTGG